CAGCAATTTTATGAACGTCGTCAGCGCACAAACGGATCAACGTAATGCCGCATCAAATAAAAGTATGTACCCTCAGCTTAAGGGTCCGAATATGCATACTTCGCATAACTTCGCACAACCATTTGTACCAGTCCACTAAAAGTGTAACTTAAGAAAATGTGAAGCAAAATCTAAACTCAACAGATCGCTAAGTTTTTAAAAGTACTGCTAATTTCTGGGTAATGGAATATATACGAAATAGAGGTTTACGCCGTCAGGCTTTTTCGGTGGCGGCGTGGTCAACTTCCAAAATAATCGACGCCGGCGCTACTGCCCATAAGGTAGATTCCAAAGAGCCATTAGGCTACTAATCTTATCATGTCATCTCGTCTGCGTTACGCTAGGCGCACATTGCATCCGATAGGCCGACCGATTTCGGCCGAACAATTTGACCGTCCGAACTGATGCGCACACTTAACCTGATTATTTGCCTACCGTATTTGTACACACAAATCTAGTTTTCATTTAAATTTTGTAAGAAGTGAAATATTTTGATACATTTTAATTGACATACTCTAAACATGTGATTTTATATATAATTTTTTTGTTTTTGCACCCAATAAGTTAATTTTTTCGCAGTCCATTTTGGTCCTTTTGACCTGACATCGGACGAGAAAAACAAATATGTTTGAATTTATCGTCACTGACGGGCGTCAACGGTCAACGGTCGATGTCGGTTCGGTTATCGGTTTATGTGTGACAGCGCTCATATAATCGCAAGTGTTTATTAATATCGCACGCATATAGCCGATATCGGCCGAGCATAATTCGGCCGATGCCGGTTGCAGAGTCCGCGTAGGGTTAGGCATTCGCCATGCCAATTCAGATTATGATTCTATTTATTTCAGTTTTAAATTTAAATATTGTTACTTCCTACTTGAATTAAAATTTTGATGGATAGGCGGACAGAAGAATTTCTGAGGTTGCGGTTTTTCTGCCGGGATTAAATACAAAATTTATAATATTTTAAGACGTCCGCCAAAATATTTCGGGAAAATATTAAGATTTGAGTGAGCTGCATGTAAATTTTTTAAGCTTAAACCGTTTTGTCATATGAGGGGATTTTTTCAAAAAACATCCTTAAGAAACTATTTTTATTCATAAAAAACTTCATTCTTGGAGGTATTTTCAAATCGGTCCAGCTCGCTTAAATCTTAATATTTTTCTTATTAATAGATTCTATGATTCCAATGAAAAAACAGTACCGATTTTTCTTTTGTATGGGGTGTGATGCAGTCTATTATACAGCGTTGCGCCGAATAAATGTTACCCAGTTTTTCTTTTTTAGAAATAAAAGGGTCCTTTATAGATTTTGTGAAAAAAGTATATTATTGTTAATTTTCCAAAGATTTTACTTTAGTTGTATTAATAAGTTATTAAATTTTAATCCCTATTTACATTTGCCAGCAGTTTAAACTTTAAGAGAAGACGCAAGTCTTTTTCAGGTGTATTTTTTCTTAGGCTTTGTATAAAAAAATACAAAAAAGAAAAACTGTATAAGGTTGGTCGAATGAATAGCAGTCCTAGTCACCAGTTCCGAGTCTATTCGTTTTTTGAGTATAAGGCCTTATGTTGGACAAAAGGGGGAGTATAAGGGACTCAAAAGGGGAAAATTTGCCTATGGTTACAGAAGATATGGAATAAATTACCTGACTAAGACCTGCGTGCCAAATGAACTTTTCTCTCAAAGTTTACACTGCTGGCAAATGTAAAAAGGATTAACATCTAAAAACGAATGAATACAACTAAAGTAAAATCTGTGGAAAACTAACAATAAAATACTTTTTTCGCAAAATCTATAAAGGACCTTTCTATTTCTCAAAAAACCTGTGTAACAGTTATTCGTCGCCACGCTGTACATACAAACATGGTTCTCTGTATGTGATATTACTATCGATAGTATCCCAGCTCATGATGCATAATATAAGGTGGTATCAGTTGTGACAGCTCGATTTGACACTGCCTTAGCTCAGTAGAATGAGAAGAAAAACGGGAAGAAATGAATCCCCATATGGGGGAAAAATATAAAATTTCACATTTTCTCCTAAACAAAATTTGCTTTTTAATAGTATATTCGTTATGAAATGAAATAAAATAAGATAATATAACTTTTTAAGAAAACAAAGTATGTATACTGAGAAAAAATAAAAAGCATTCAACTATATTAATGGGCAAAGAATAGTTAAAGAAGTAACACTGTTTCAACTGATAACAGTAAAGTGAAAGTAACAGTGGCTACACACGACGAACATATCCGCGCAGCATGCTCGCAAAAAATAGGAAAAAATTTGATTTTCAGCGAGCATGCTCGTCGTTTGTAGCGTAGTTTGCGAGCATAGCACTGGAAACAAAAACAACAACCTCATTTTGTGTTGATGCTTGCAGTGTGCACATCGCGGATAAATGCGTCCAAGCCATGTGCGTTTATTGAATTTTTGATAAATATGTACATTAGAGTGGTCCAAAAAAATAAAGTCGGAGTTTTAATGCCGGCACACCCAAGGCAGCTGATCACAAGTGTATATATCTGTGCTCATAAGCAATAACCGCCTAAGTCGAAAAACCTGAATTCGAGAGAAAACGGTTTACACATTTGGATTGTAATGTATTAGCCGTATGGGCAAACCAAAATATTTTCGCCTATAACTTTTTAAGTAGCCCGGCTAGCAAGTTTCACACATGCTTGGAATAGTGGTTGAAGAATACATAACTCCATTCTTTCTTAAGTCGACTTAGGCGGTTATTGCTTGTGACCAAGATTGATAGAATACAAGATTGCGCCGTCCTGGCCGTTGACATTTGTGTACCACAAGTGAACAAAGAATAGAGCGAAAAGAAGAACGAGTTGAAACTGCCAAAACAGTTCACGCGAAAAAAGTTTTAATTTTGCTAAATGCGAAAATATTGCATTTTCACATAATCCATTAGAGAATAGCGAACGATAGTCCACTCGATTGCTTTGCAATCGAAGTTGCTGCAGCAAATGATGCAGCAAACTGAGGCAGCATCTCAGAGGGATTGATTAGTTAACTTGCTAAAGGAGGTGCTTGGAGCAGAAGCGAAGTGATGAAATGTTATCAATACAATAATAAAGTAACATTTCGAGAACGGCTTTACCGTGCCCTATTTACAGTCTTCAACTCAAAAATCACTCACAAATTGCAAATTAACACCATTTAAACTTATTTTTCACTTATAATTAAAATTCTCTTTGTCGCTGATTTATAAACAAAGGTTTATTTACAAGTTACTACAACTGTCAAAATCGGCGAAACAAAAGTAGCGGTACCACTGACTATTATTATTATTATTGTATTATTGCATCATGCTGTTGATTGGTTGGAGCAGTTTTGATCGTTTATTGTTTTCTGTTCTCTTTCACACTCTTCGTATGCAATTTTTGACAGTCCTCGCCGCAAAAGCAAAAACAAAATACATGTACATTTTGTTATTGGTGTACCGATACCACCTTATTGAATACGCCTTGGAGCAGCTGGAATTAGGTATGCCAGTGGCAAAAATATATCGATGTTTTGTTTTTGATCCGATGCATCGAAATGTACATCGATATTTTTCGATGCATCGAAGGGCATACATCGATGCATAAACTGTGACGACGGCTCAATATACTAAAGATGTCAGTTTTCATAAAACATCGATGCATTGATACATCCACTATTTATCGTCAAAGATTGCGTAAGCGCAATTTTGACGATTTTTAGTGCTAAATGCAGTTATATGTTTTGAAATAAGGTCCTTCGATTGATGTTGTCGGTTTTTAGAAATAATAGATTGGCGCTTACACATATGTTAGTGTTTGCCGAGCTTCTCCTCCGATTTATGGCGAGCGCCTTGATGTTTTCACACAAAGCGGAGGGACCTACAGTTTTAGGCCGACTCCGAACGGCGATTGTATTTTTATGAGAAGCTGTTTTTCATGGCAGAAATACACTCGGAGGTTTGCCATTGCCTGCCGAGGGTCGACTGCTGTTAAGAAATAACCGTTTTTTCTATATTTTTTGCGATGTTGCTTTGACCAAGGTTTGAACCCAGGCGTTGCGCAGTGGATACGCGCACTGCTTACTGCTTACATCTTTTTCGATAATTTAGTAAAAAGTTAGTGATGCAGGCATATTAAACGAATCAATATCTTAAAAACAACGTTCTCCATTTTTGGATATCCTCTTTAATTTCCGAGATATTGAGTAAAAAGTGTCGGTTATTTAGTAGAAATTTTAATCACATTTTATCGTATTTCATACAAAGTGGCTGCCAAATTGTGGACAAATGACGCTTACGACAAAATTTTACTAAAGATAATCCGTCATAAAGCGAAGCGCACATTGGCGCGATTCTGTCGTTGCGAATCCGCAAGCCCAAAAATTACAACAATGCTACCCATACATTTTAATGCGCTAGCGCACACTTGCACGATTCCGTCGCTGCGAATTTTTCGAACATTCAATGTTCCGTTTTGAAGGCGTCAAAGAAGAAGAAGAAAGGTGTCACAGCAATAAAGGCAAAGAAAAAAAAACCTGTAATGTACAAAAACTAATAAAAACGTTCGTAATAATAGTATTTTGTACGATTTGGGCACGCCGAGTGCGAAAATACACGAAATAAAGGGAAAATTGAGTGAATTGTACATCGGAAATCGACGCGAAAAAATCGCTCAAGTGTGCGCAAGTGGAATCGCGCTAATGTGCGCTTCGCTTAAACTGAAAACTAATTAACAATAGTAATTAAAAATTAAGTAATTTAAGCAGTTTTTGAACTAGTAATATATTCAGAGACCTTGGGGAAAACCTATCTTCGCGTTTTTGAGAAACTGCATTCCAAACTTCAATGGCGATTTTCCACAACCTGCCGAAATTAACATACGACAATCTTTTACCCAGGCGACGTTATGCATCGAGTGGAAAACTTTCGGTGCAACGAAGCAAAACATCGATATTTTAGATGCGTCGATGTTTTTCCGACTTCCCTAGCTGGAATCAGTTGGTGTAGTAATAAGCGGAAAGAGTTGAATAAGGAAATAGATTTAGTAATTTTTTGATAACCAAAAGTGAAAATATTGGGAAAATGTGCGGAGGATTTACCTGCTCGAAAAATGCGCTAATTGCGTTGAACATTTTGTATGTGGTAAGTATTTAATTTGGCCTTGCTAACAGTGTGGGGTAATACCCCTGCTTATGCTGTAGTACTTGCATATACGGGAGCACCAAAAGGATCCAAAATTATCGATTTTTACACTTCATGGTATGTACATTGTTTGGTTTGTTTGCAGATGGTGGGATTCCTGTTGATTGGAGTTGGCATTTATGCGCGTGCCGCCTCCATAGTCACAAATTTACCGATTGTGGGTGGAATTTTAGCCTGCGGCGTAATATTGATATTAATTTCCATACTTGGACTGGCAGGTGCAGTGAGGCATCACCAAGTTATGCTATTTTTCGTATCCTTTACAAAAAAAAAAAAAAAAAAAAAAAAAAAAAAACGTTTGCAGAGAGAACGTAATGTCAAGTTACATAGTTTTATAATCGCATTACTATTATTTGTTTACCTACGAAGGTGATAAAAAATAGCCAGTATACGCGCGATAAGCATCATATGTATGAGCGTTCTTTTTCATTTGCATTAAAATGTATAAAGTACCTATGTACCTAACTGATATTAATACAGTGTACCAAAAAAAATTAAGCTGGTTTCGACTATTTAAATGTTGTACGTAATACTTGAATTTAACTTCTTATTGATATAGGCAAATAGATTTCAATTTAATTCCGCCCGCCTTTATTATATCAATAGACGGCGAAAAGGCTATCGCTTTACTTGACCTCAAAATCTTTAAATTAAAATTCAAAAGTGGACGCTCTTTACTTCATACTAATTCCTGAGCTACAACTTAATTAATTTCAATTGAATTGACTTGAAATAAGTTTTGCGCTACATATGTACATAATGTAATGTATGTACCTTCATATTGCACAGATCTATCAAGTTCAAAATTTATGCAAATAAAATATATTGGTATGGTTTCCTTAACATAAATATAACAGTACATGATTATCTTGTTTATTCTATTCATCATTCAATTCTCCATTGCAAGCTCTTGTTTAGCTGTCAGTTCTGAACAGCAAAAAGAGTTCGCTGAAGAAGGCTGGAATAATGTACCGGATTCTATGCGAAAACAAGTGCAAGATACTTTTCTCTGCTGTGGCTTCAACTCAACTAATACTGGAATGTCCTGTGAAGCTGTAAATAAACAATGTTGTCCTAATTTAATTAGTGTTTGCTCGTGCGCACCATGCTTACCCGCATTGGAGGATAAGATCAATTATGCTTTTAAGTTATGTGGCGGTTTGGGCATTTTCTTCAGTTTCACTGAGGTAAGTGGAGTGAATTTTAATTTCTTTATTATGATTAATATGTAATACATATTTTAACATTCTAATTAATTAATTCTTCTATTTGAATACGCAAACTTTTAGTTTATTGGAGTTTGGCTTACAGTGCGTTATCGAAATCAAAAAGATCCACGCGGTTTGCCGAGTGCATTTCTATAAAGTCTTATGCACCACAAGCGCGTATTCAATCAATAATGAATAACGTACTAACATATACTAATACGCATTCATACATAATATAAAAGCCATCTGATTTCTATAAATCATCTCTTAATTATATAAAAAACGAAACCATCGTTTTAGGTTTTGAAGCATTTATATATACATAGGTACATGTAATACATTCCTACATAATTAAGATAAAAAAATCATATTCCCACACAAACATACAATATTTGTTAAAATGTGCTAAAAGCGTACACATAAATGAAAATACATATTTATAATGTCGTTGTTCAGCCTTCCCTGGTTATCAGGTTATATGGTTAAAAATAATTTTTCTGTAGGGTATTTTATTGTTGTACAACAACATATGTATTGTATTTGTAAGTATATTGTATTGTATTGTACAATAACAAAATGCACTACAGAAAAATTATTTTTAACCAGATATCCCGGCTAACCAGGCAAGCGTGAACTGCTTGTTGTATTTAGCCTTTTACACAAGCACACGGACAGAATAGCGTATTTAAAAGAATGACAGCGACATCTTTGGCGTTTTATAAACAACTGATAATTCTAGATTAAAAGCCATATATAAAATTTAACCGTCACGACCAATAGTATTTCAATTGGGCATGAAATTAACAACACCACCTTATACTTACAAATACAATACAATATGCAGCACGTTTTTACAGCGATTTGAAGCGGATAATGCATCGACTTTCCTCTATCATCAACAATATTTACTTATGTATTTACTGAAATACTTTGGTGAGCAAAAATTATATCACTATTTAGTTACAGATATGATTATATCGGAAACTTTTGTTAAACGTTCTTTCTTTCTTCCATCCGTTTTAAAAAGATATTTGGTTTCAAATTCAATTTGTTTTTTCTTTCATTGAGCGCTTTTTGGAGTTTTTTTTTTAGGATTTAAATATGAATTTTACAAAGCCTCTACGGTTTTAGCAATTTTGATGTAGTGAAAAAATTATGATTCTTTTGGAAAAAGTAACCTGTTTTACACTAAAACAAAAGCCCTTCTTCATACATTTGGTCACTTTCAGGGCTTAAAATTTGAGAACACTAGGTTTTAGAGGCATTCAGAACTATTTAATTTTTACATACATATTCGATATGCGTACCAAAGTTTTCTAACGTTTGTTATGTATTCTCCGGTCAATCGTACATTGCGTTAATTTTTTGCCGAGCTACAGAACATTTTAAATATAGCCACAAGTTATATCTACATTTTAAATAGTCGATTTTAGACTTCAATCTGAAGTACCCTTAAGGAAAGGCTTTATAATCGTTCCCACGACAGTCGGGTCTACGTAACCGGAACGACCCAGATTTATATCTGGCCAAGGACTGTCACTCCAGCAACACTCCCCAAAATCTCTTTGGGGAATTTGTATGCTGTTACAACAACAACAACAACAAAGGCTTTATAATAACATGGGAGATTCACGTCAACCATTTCACACATTCTTTTTATTCTACTGAAACTTATAACTTACTATAAACCTTAATAACAAATTTCACAAGGTGTCATAAAAAAAAAACTTTTCTATCAGACCTGAGAAACTCGTTATGTTCACAATAATATAAGCCAATTATAAATCTGTGTTTGAAGGTTTTAACTAACATGCACGCATCTTTTAGAATTACATATTTTGTAATTTTTAAAAAATTATGTATATTAATTCTATAAGGGCATATGTACAGTGACTCAAACTAATGAGCACGTGTCGATTTTTTTTAATTTTTGTAATATTTTTCGAGCTAAATAATTTTTTTGTTTTTCTATTAAAATACCATCCAAGCTTTAACCAAAAAGATTCATGCTTTCTTACAAAATTTAGGAAAATTCAAAAAATTTTCATTAAAATTTAAACTTTTTAATCTGAATCTAGAGAACATTTTTGGATATGCAGTTTTATATATAGCCCATATAATTTCAGTCTAATGAAGTGTAAGTTTCAACCGGCTCGCGTTGATTTTTGAATTTTTTGTTTTTCGAGACTGCTTCTGCGGTTTTTTATATAACAAGTGCATTTTCAAAAATTGGCGCTGATTTTTTGAAATTTTGTCGGTCGCTAGCGGTCTATTTCATAAGAAATTCATGCTTATATGGAAAAAGGTGCAAAAATCCGAAACCAAAAGAGAAATTCTCAAAAATCGAAGCGATTTTTTTAGCTTTCATTAGACTAAAATTGTATGGGCTATAAACTGCATACCCAAAAATGTTCTAAAGATTCAGATTAAAAAGTTGACATTTTGATTAAAATTCGCTGAATTTTCCTAAATTTTATACAAAGTTTGATACTGTGAGTTATATAGTTTTGGTTAAAGCTTGGACGGTATTTTAATAAAAAATTATAAAAATACTTAAGCTCGAAAAACATTACGAATATTTAAAAAAATCAATTCAATTTTCCGTAAAATATCCGTGAAAAGAATAATTTTTCCGCGACCAAATTTTAACAAGTAAGAAAGTATAAGTTCGGGCGGAGCCGAACATTAAATACCCGACGAAAATAATAATTTTGCCGCGGACATATTTTAACAAGTAAGAAAGTCTAAGCACGGGCGCAGCCGAACATAAAATACATGGCGCAAATATTAAATATATGTTTTTCACCATTCCGAAAGCTACCGCTACATGGTAAGCTGGGGTGTATCAATTTTGAGGAAGTTAGGGTCCTTAAGTTTTATGTTCAAGTTTCAAGCATTCCTGAAATTTACCATCATATGAAAAGCCGTAATTTTAGTCCGATTTCAATAATTTTGAACGTTTTGCTTTTATGTGGCAAGCACAATAACTATACCCAGTTTGGTACAAATTGATCGAACGGTTACCGAGATACATATATGTGATCATAAGTGGGCGGTGCCACGCCACTACCGCTGCATGGTTAGCCGGGGTGTATCGATTGTGAGCAGGTTGTCCAGATTGTTAAAAAAAGCGCAATTTCTGAATAAAAATCGCATATCTTTAAAATTCATGAAATCGATTTAACAAATCTTTTATTTAAAAAATGAGATCTTTATACCCGAGCGCACTTGTGCACAAGGGTATTATAACTTTGTTCACATAACGGTTGTTTGTAACAGGCAAAACGAGTCGAGATATATATAGACAAATTGTACACAAATGATCAGAATGAAAAGAGAAATCGATTAAGCAGTGACTGTCTGTCCGTCCGTCCGTCTGTGCACACGATAACTCGAGTAAAAATTGAGATATCTTAACGAAACTTGGTACGTGCCCTTATTTCTGGCGTAGGACGGATTGTATTGAAAATGGGCAAAATCGGACAATAACCACGCCTACCTCCCATATAACGGTAATTTTCAGAAATACGAAAACTGCGATATTTTAGAAACTACTGAAGATTGTTCACTCAAAATCGATATTTACAATAAGTTTTAGACGAAAAATAAGAATATTATACGATCATAATCGATCGAATATACTTACGATCACATATATGTATGTATCTCGGTAACCGTTCTACCAATTTGTACCAAACTCGGTATGGTTATTGTCCTTGGCACATAGAAGCAAAACGTTGAAAATTATTGAAATCGAACTAAAATTACGGCCGCTTTTGAAATAACAGTAAATTTCCGAAATGCTTGAAACTTCAATATTTCGAAATTTAAGGACGCTAATTTACTCAAAATTGATACACCCCGGTTAGGGAGTTAGGAAGAAATTAGTGCACGGGTAACAAGATATACACATGTCACCATAAGTAGGCGTGGCTACGCCCATTTTCCAAAAATTTCTTATTTGTCGTCTAAAATTTATTGTAAATATCAATTTTGAGTGAATAATCTTCAGTAGTTACTAAAATATCGCAGTTTTCGTATTTCTGAAAAGTACCGTTATATGGGAAGTGGGCGTGGTTACAGTCCGATTTCACCCATTTTCAATACCAACCTACCTTGGATAAATGGAAACCAAATTTCGTTGAGATATCTCAATTTTTGCTCGAGAAACCGATCGGTATAACTATGTGTAATGTGTAAGCGCAGAGATAACTAGGACTTCTCATAAATCTGTAGGGCATTGTATGTTTTATTTATTTATTTATTTATTATTGTTTATTTGACTAATGGATTCGCTATATTTACTCAGTTACTTTGTCATTTAATTTTGATATTGGACTTTAATTGTTATATCAATCGATGTACATTAGAGTGGTCCAAAAAAATAAAGTCGGAGTTTTAATGCCGGCACAGCCTAGGATTGATCTATATCGAAAAAAATATGCCCCTATTTTTTATTTTGAAATCAAAAAATATTTAGGGAGTGCTCAAAGCGCTCAAAGTTTTCCATGTATTTTATATGGAGAAAAAAACATCTTTTCGTAGAAATAGTGTAGAATTCTTGAAAATCAATAACTTTTTCTTTAACAATTTTTTCATGGTAACTATATTTTATAAGTCCTCCAAAGCCCTTAGAAAATGCAATGGGGGACCAATAAAAAATTTTAAATCATAAGAAATGGTTAAATAAACAATTGGATATTTATACTGGAAGTCTCCTGAAGAGAACCACAGTTTTCCGGTCGAAAAATATTGATTTTCAAGAGTCTTATACCATTTCTACGAAAAATAGTTTTTTCTCCATATAAAATACATGGAAAACTTTGAGCGCTTTGAGCACTCCCTAAATATTTTGGATTTCAAAATAAAAAAATATGGGTATATTTTTTTTCGGTATATAACAATCCTAGGGGGTGGCGGCATTAAAAATCCGACCTTATTTTTTTTTACATACATTTTTGGACCACTTTAATGTACATATGCATATGCTTTCTTGCATTTTAAATATCTTCATTTATTTTTCAGGTACTGGCTGTCTTTTTGGCGCGTCGCTATCGCAATCAACATGATCCACATTATCCACCAGCGCGCGCAATTTTCCCACACAATTATCAGTATTAGTAAAACAATCATAATTTTCGATTCCGTGGCAAAAAAAAAAATTATTAGCGCTGATCCGATTTCATAGCAAAAGCATTTGGCTAACATTAACATACTACATATCGTCACTAGACACGAATAAAGGCGCGAGCTCAAAATTTGACCGCGAAAAACGACGCTTAAAAAAACTTCAGCGAAGAAAGACTCTTAACCTAGTTGACGACGAAGAAAGACGCGATAAAATATTTGACGGCCAAGAAGGAAGCGTAAACTTATTTTCGCGGTCAACTATGTTTGCGGGTGTAATAGTATGTACATTCCGTAAATAGTTTTTGGGGAATAATGCTGAAGTTACAGTCCTTGGCCTAGTATAAATCTATGATTACGCGTCTTTCTTCGCCGAAGTTTTTCTTAAGCGCCTTTTTTCGTAAAATTTTTTGTATGCGTCTTTTTTTACCGTCGAAACAATAGGGCGCCTTTATTCGTGTCTAGTGACGATATGTATATGTATATGTATATAAAATGCACTTCCCAATTTTTAAATTAGCTATATTTTGAAGCACTTTAATTTATGTTACAATATATTCAGAGCTGGGTCGTAATGACTCCTTTAGGAATTAAATTACTCCCAATTACAAATTACAAGGAATTGTAATTTGGAATAAATTCCTTCAGTCCACAACAAAGGAATCGATTACTTTCTCAATTCCTTGAAGTAATTTCAAATGTAATTGTTTTTTTTTTTTAATTCCATTACAAGGAATTTCATATTGTAATTGGAATAAATTACGTGTTAGTAATGCAATTTTTTTTCCAATTCCTTTGAAAGGAATTGAAAATGTAATTGATTTTTTTTTTCAATTCCATTACCTAGAATTGCAAAAGTACTTTAGTTTTTTCAATTACTCAAAGGAATTGTAAAAGTAATCGAGAAACTGAAAGTTCATTCATGGTCAAAGATTAAAATCGAAAGCACACATTGGACATCTTCTATGTATATGTATATATATAAAAATGTTGTGTTCGTATGTCACGGTCGTCAAAACTCGAGAATGGCTCAACCGATTTGAATTTTTTTTTTTGTATTGGTATTACCAGAACCAGTGCTGCCGTGTCACTTCAGTTGAAGTGTTTCACTTCACTTTAGAAGCCTTCACTTCGTCACTTCATTTTACTTCGTTATACTTCACTTTCCACAAATTAGATTTATCTTCAAAATACATAAAAATTTCTTTGAAATATATGATTTATTTAACCTAAATCAACAATATGGGTGGATAAAATTTCATAATTATTTAGTAAATATTTGAGGAAAATAACCATTACATTTAAATTTTCAATTTTACAACAAAAATTACACATTTAAGTGAATCTCGTGATGACGTTGTTGCTGTGTATTGCTGTGCAACGATAATCGATAATTATATTTTAGTGTTAATATCATCAGTATCTTTTGTGTAATTTTTGATTTTCTTTCCTGATACATTTCGTGTGAGACATTGTGATTTTAAAGATATTCCAGCACTAAATTTGCACAGGAACACAACAAATTATAAATTAATAAAAGTTAAAGTGACAAAAAACAAAATTAGCAAACGGCAGCACTGACCAGAACCAATGATATCGCAAAAAATTGGAAGATTGCCACCTATTTGAAAATTTTTAAACCCAATTATATTGATCAAATAAATGAGTTATTACAATATGGGTATCAAGTTAAAGAGGGTTAAGAAAAATAACTGTTGGAAGTATTTTTGATGAAGGTTGCCTATTGAAAATTTTAAATCAGTCAAATTGATAAAATAAATAAAATATTGCCATGTGGGTGTCAAACTAAAGAGTTTTAAGAAGGCTTACTGCCGAAAATATGTTTGAGGAGGGTTGCCATGTGTTTGAAAATTCAACTAAGTTACATTGGTAAAATAAATAAATAAAGAAAATATATTTTTGAGGGGGGTTGCCACCTATTTGGAAATTGTAGCTCACTTAAATTGATAAAGTAAATGAAATATTGCCATGTGGGTGTCAAACTAAAGAGTTTTCAAAAGGCTTACAGTCGAAAATAATTCAAAGGAGGGTTGCCACCTGTTAAAAAATTTAGCGCAATTTAATTGATAAACTAAATGATATATTACAATATAGATATTAAATTAAAAAGGTTTAAGAAAGATAACTTCTGGAAATAGTTTTGAGTAAAATTGCCACCTCTTTGAAAATTTAAAGTCCGTTATTTTGATAAAATAAATGAAATACTGCATTTTGGGAATCAAACTTAAGAGTTTTAAGAATGCTTACTGCCGGAAATATGTTGGAGGAGGGTTACCACCTGTGTGAAAATTTAACTCAACATAATTGATCTAGGTATCAAATTAAAGAGGTTTAAAAAAGAAGACTTTCAAAAATACTTTTGAGGAGGGTTACCACCTATTTGAATATTTTAACTCAGTTTAATTGATAAAATAAAGAATATTTTATATATTTTTAAGTATCTTTAGTTAAGATTTGCATTACAAAATTTAAAATTTTCTCCATGAGAAGAGAATTATATAAAGAAATTTTGAAAAATTTCCGTTACAATTACAATATAAAATACAAATGACCCGTTTTAATAAACCTCCCCGGTTTTTTCTGCCTTCAGTAGATTAAGAAATCAAAAACCTACCATTTACTGCAACAATAGCGCTCAAGCTTAACAAGGCTATTGCAATTCAACAGTAAAATTTTTTTTTATAAATTTTTCGATTTCTTTTTCAATTACTTTGACGGGTGGAATTCGAAAAAATCAATTACATTTTCAATTCCTTTCAAAGGAATTGGAAAAAAATTACATTTTCAATTTCTTTCAAAGGAATTGAAAAAAAAAATACATTACTAGCACGTAATTTATTCCAATTACAATATGAAATTCCTTGTAATGGAATTGAAGAAAAAAACCATTCCATTTGAAATTACTACAAGGAATTGCTGTGAACTGAAGGAATTGAATCCTAATTACAATTACTGAGGAATGTAATTGTAATTGTAATGTAACTGCATTTACCCAGCTCTGAATACATTTCAATTATTAACAGCCGGTTTCACCAGCAATTTAAATGGAAAATAGCTTTTTATTTCTTGCCAATTTTCATATAAAATTCAAAGAATTAAAATTGTTTTTCTCTTAAATTGCTTTCGTGAAATTGGCTGTAAGAAATCAAAATTTATTTAAATTTTTGAAAATTTGGTGTTTGAATTTTCTAATGATTTTTAAATTAACCACTGTAAATTATTATTTATTTTTCACAATCAGTATCTAATTAATTGTTGTGCATTTCAATATTTAGGAAACCAAAATTTTTTTAAATTTTTGGAAATTTGATGTTTGCATTTTCTAGTGATTTTTGAATTAACCACTGCATATTATTTTTGTCTTTTTACAAATTAACATCCTTGAGAAACTTTTTGAGATTATTTTATGAAATTAATTAAACTAGAGATTATTTCGCGTATGGGTTACAAATAAAAATATAATCTTATATATAGTATATCTATGTTTGCTCAATACATATGTAGCACTAGTTTCAAATACATAAATTTATTGTAATATGTGTACGTAGATTTGAATGTAAAAGTTTCTTTAATTTTACAACGGCTCTTCAGCACCTAAGGCAATCACATAAAAATTAGAAAAGCTTACAAATAGTATACAACTATGAATACATATGTATATATCTAAGTTAAAGATAATTTCGGAACTGGCGTTCAGTTAAATATTCTGCATAATGTATTTCTATTGTAGCTTCCTTGTAACAGGTGCTTTATTAATGTATACAGACTTAAAAAAATCTCACAATTCTTTAATTTCCAAAAACATATACATACATACATATTTTTATTCCCCAACCAATCAATTACATGTCATTTTCACAATGCATCCAATATGTATTATTATACGTTATCACCTAACTTATACTGTAGAATCAAACATAATACAATATACATACATATTTACGTATTTATATACCATACAGTGTTAGTATGTACATTTGCATAGGGCATATACTATCTGATAAAGTACGATAATATTCTCTGTATTCTGTGCTGTGATTGAAATAAATATGATCTTTAAAATGTAAACAAAAATATATGGATTTTGTCTTTAAGTCATTGGCTTTCTGAAAATCGAATTAATAATTTAAATATTGTGCTATAACTCGCTTACTAGTGATGTGTATGTCAAATTGTCATCCTATAAGCGTCATCCTGTAAGCGTCATCCGAGATTCATGCTATGCATACATGAATAAGTATTTCAATTTTAGAGTGTCTCGCTTTTTTCTCCTCAATTCTTCACGCCTTTCATAAAAATAGTTCTCGTCAGTTACACTGGCACCCCCTACAACTTCAGGTCCTTAAGCTTGATAGCAGTGCCAACCACAGCGTAGCGAATAATGCGGAATTGCATGTCAGTGCACTGGCGTCATTGTTTTCATTGCACTGCTGCCGCCGTTAATGTTGTTTTTTATATGCAACTCGTTTGCATCAAATATGTTTATACAAATCTAGTTCACACATACACACTTGCGTTTATGTACGTAGAAAAAATTGCTCTAATTCAAGGTTGGTAGCTGTTTTAATGGCAGAGATAACAGTTGTTGGCTTTTTTGTTATATAAATTTATGAATATTTTGAAAGATAGGATTAGGGAAAAATTCGTGAAGCTGTATTATATACATATGTATGGATGTATGTGCATTAGACCACGGCATAAGACTCAAATTTTAGCATTTGATATAGTAATGAGGACAATTGTAAGAGGTCCTGCGACAAGCATTTAGATTTCCCATAGGAATTACACGTAAGAAAATGAGTTATTTCTTTTGAGGTCAATATAATTTTCTAGGATCAATGAAAACGCTCAAAACTGTAATAAACGATTAATTACATGCCATTTAAATATAATGCAGTCTCAGATTATTTAAATTCCTAAATTATTTTTTAATCCTTTGTCCCATTTTGGGTCATGTCTAGTACATATTTACAAATTTTATTTTTTTTTTTGAATTTAAGGAATTTGAGCATGCATAATACTTAAATGGCATGTGATAATGTATTCTTCCAGTTTTGAGAGCTTTCACTGATCCTGGAAAATTATATTGACTTCAAAAGCAAAGAAATAATTTTCTTACGTGTAATTCCTAATGGAAAACCTAATTGCTCGACGCGGGACCTCTTACAATTGTCCTAGAGAGGGGAGATTCATGGAGGATCATTGAATATAATGAAAATTTTTGCCGCACAAAGCTGGGTGCGTATTTGGGCTATAACATGAGAGTCTCTCTCCCATCATCCATCCCACACCGAATTTTCGCTCCTTTACGTGGCAACTGTAGTATTTAGATGTCGCTTACCTTGCCTTGCCCCGTCCATCGCATATCTGGGATGGCGGTGATGACAGCCTTTGTCTTCTCGAGGACATCAACCAGCCGGGCAGAGGCACGTCCCCCATTAAGGGTTCGGATATTCTAAGTACATACCCTCAAATCATAGTCCCTTACACCTTTGCCGTGGTCGTCATCAAAGGAAGGGGGGCTCGTCCAAAGGAATATTTTATGTTTTCAATGGGTGGGATTTTAAAGTAGCGGGAAATAAACCCATCGCACGTGAGGTTTTCGCCTTCTTACTTTAGCTGGCTCCCTAACGGGCATTTGGTCGCTTCCCATAGGATACGTATATATAATCAGTTCTGGTCACTCCCAGGTGAATGGCAGTCAAAATACTCGGGAGGGGAAGCCCATCAAACATGTTCCAAAAGTTTTGGCTGCTAAGGAATAGGTATTAATCCTCAAGAGAGGTTATTCCTCTAATTGCGGCTTTGTGCGCAACCTTCCTTCTGAGCATAAAAATCTACCTGAAATACTAAAAAAATTGTTTGAACTGCCCGCTGATTTGCTGTAAGAGCAGCACGAGCGTACAAATTTTTGGCATTTGATATCCGCAAACTCAAGAAGAAGATAAGTTGAGTTATTGTAGAGTGCTTTGAGTGAAAATCGGCTCTGTGAAGAGTGTTGAGTGATTAAAAGAAGTTTATTGCATTTAAAAACTTTTCATGGCCAAACTAACTCAGGGATGTTAGCAGGGATGTACAATGTATGTATAAGTATTTTTATGTAGTAGGTAGGGACTTGCGCCTCACGCCATACAGTAAACGAATGAAAACCTCCCTCGACTAGTGTTACGTAACGAATTCCAGTTGTTTTGGGCTACTCACATGTCTGCTTTTTGGCCGTCTCAGGCAACAGCTGCAAAACTTGCTGTTATTCATTTGGTCGATTTTATGTATTTTTGATTGTCTGGCTTTATTGTGCTCTTTCGACTGTGTTTGTATGCATATGTGTGTATTTAAGCATGATATAATACAAATAATAAATAGTTTCCATATTGCACATACATACATATGTGCATATGTATGTATCTATGCTAGCATGTTTTTCACCATTACGGTACATTTTGTTTAAATGAATAACTATTGGTTAAGTGGGCGTGGCTGATGCGCTTGCTTACTTATGACTTGCACTAACTGCTTTGTTGTGCATTTCTTATGTAGTTCCTTGGCACACTGCCGTCGAATACCATAGTAAATCTTGCACGTGTATAAACCAACCCTCACATTATTTCTAGCTTTCGTCACTTCTCTGGCATACACTCAGAAAAAAGGTTTAGTTATAATTACCAAGATTTGGTTATAGTGACCAAGT